TGAAAGATGTTTGAATGAACAAAAACAAGAGCAAATCTACAGATTTCAGAAGATTTTTGCAAACTTTAAACATTTTTGAATGATGATAAATCGTTTAGATCTGAACTAAAAATGAGATGGATCTACAGATCTGAGCTGAAAAATGAAGACAAAATCAATAGATCTGAACAAAAACACTAAGCAAATAAAGAGATCTGAAAGATAGAACACATCAGATCGAGAGATCTGAGAGGTGGCTAATAAGATCTAAACAGATCTTGGCAAGAGCCAACAGATCTGAACAAATGGTGCTAGAAATGAACAGATCCTAGATCTGAGGAAAACCTGAGTCGAAACGACAGATCTGAGTGGATCTAGGAAAGAACGAGACGTTGGCTGCTCGTTCGTGTCCGGGATGGCGCCAAATGATACGAATTTGGCTCTGACAACCTGCTCTGAGAAAGTGCTTCTACGCCGGAGACAGATCTGCGAGGTCACAACAGACAAGGCCGTTAGAGCCACCCCAGGGACTGTGCCTCGGGAGCGGGATCTGACGGTCAAGTTAGATCATCTGGTAGATCTGCGATGGTTCTCTTTAGCTAGAGAGTGTTGGATTAATGTCTAAGTCCATAACTATATTTGGTATGTACTTGACCCGACCCGGCATGGTCCATTTGGGTTGCACTTCACCGGCACAATTTATATGGATAGTCTTTTGAGAATAGTATATTTATGATTTATATTAATATATTATAAGTTCTAATATATTAATATGGAATCATATTATTTAATTAGTATTGATCAAGAATTAATTTAGAATTAATTAAGTGATCAAAAAGAACTAATTAAATATGCACTCTTATATATATGGAATGGGCCAAGTTCATTTAGGTTGGGCTAAGCTTTCATGGATGGTCCATGGAGCTTTTAACCCATGGATCCTATGTAAATGAAAGGTCATGGGTATTAGGGTTTACATGGATGTAACCCTAATCCTCCATAATATATAAAGGGGTCCTTGGCTCACAAAATTGGCACAAGTATGTGAAAATAAGAGTGGGCCGATTTTAGTGTGCATACATATTCTCTCAAGTTCTTCCAAGGTGTTTTGGTGATTTGTGATTCCATTTGAGGCTTCCACACTATTGGGGCTAAGCTCTTAAAGCTTGAAGACATCAAGCTACATCAAAAGGTATGTCATCTAACTAGAACTTTGTAGTATAGGTGCTTCATAATATGCTAGTTAGGATGAAACCTTGGAATAGTTAATATTTGCATGTATAATAGAGAAAACATAGATCCAAGGTTTATAGGGTTGCATGTACACCATAGGAGTGTTAGAATCCTCAAAACCCAACAGAAAGTTACCTAAGATACGGTACTATCTACTCTCTCTCTCTCTCTCTCTATATATATATATATATATATATATATATATATATACACTATAATAGGAAATTATATGTATTATATATTATTTCTCATAAACATCTACCTGTTTGATGTCTTATGTAGGAATTAGAGACGATATGGAGGACATATGGGACTGGGTGTCACATCCTTATTTGGTGGAAGATCAGGTGGTGCCATACACGACCGATACTGGGAGCGATTACGATCCGACGATGCCCCTACTGCCTACTCCAGTATCAGCTGTCGAGGAGCCACCCGGTCCGAGTCTAGGGCGGCGACTGAGCCGCCGGTAAGAGATCCCCCTCATTGGAGGAGATATTGTTCACCATATAGGGGACAATTAGGTCAAAGGGAATTAGGTCAGGCCTTGGGCCAGCCCAATTCAGGTCCAACTAGCAAGGAGCTGGGCGAGGCTGGTGGGCGCGCACCAGGAAAGGTTGGCGGACGCGCACCAGGCAAGGCTGGCGGGCGCGCACTAGGAAAGGCTGGCAAAGGAGCGTCAGGCCAGGCCAACAGGAGAGTTCCCAGCAAGGCTAGCAAAGGATTCCCCAGGCCGGGCCAGCAGGAAAGTTCCCAGCAAGGCTAGCAAGGGAGTCCCCAGGCCGGGCCAGCAGGAGAGTCCCTAGCAAGGCTAGCAAGGGAGTCCCCCGGCCGGGCCAGTAGGAGAGTCCCCAACAAGGCTGACAAGGGAGTCCCCAGGCCGGGCTGACACGCCAGAGCTATCTAAGCCATGCTAATGGACCATATATCATCATCACTCAAAATGAAAAAGAACATAGATCTTTTTAAGTGAAAAATTTGAATGTATAACTCAACATTTTATAAGTTTTTATTATTACTTTTTAAAATTTCTAATTTGTATTCATATTATAATGTTTTTAAATTTATATATTCTATAAAAAAAATTAATTTGAACCTCACTTTATATATTTTATGAAAAATATAATTTGAACCTCAACTTTCAATTAATCATGTAACTAGATGCGTTCCAGCGCATTGCGCTGGTCGGAAATGATGTTGTGTGGGACGAAATGGTGCATGTGGATTGGAATCAATGTTGAAGTATAACATTATAACAGGAGGATGAAACAATAGACATACATATGCAAGTAGGTTGCTATTTATTGTATTTAACTAAAATTAAATGCAGAAATAACAGATTTACTTGTACTTGAATAAACAACACTCAAACCTATATAATACAAATAATGAAGAAGTAAAAGCAAGTTCCTGCAATTCCATTGAATTTGAATTCAACAATCCTCTTATGATGTTGCCTGTGCAATTCCAAACTCTTTCGCCTCTTCAGGAGTCATAAAACAATCCCTATCCATATTCTTCTGAATCACATAAACATTTTGTCCAGTATGCTTTGCATAAAGCCCATTCAAAGACTTCCAAACCCTAATAATCTGCTTCGTGTGAATGGTCATGTCTTTAGCCTGCCCGCTGTATCCACCGAAAGGTTGATGAATCATGATGATGACATTAGGAAGAGATCGCCTTTCACTCTTTGCACCAGCAGCCAACAGCAAAGAAGCCATTGATGCAGCTTCACCTAAACATATTGTATTGATCGGAGATCGAATGTATTGCATTGTATCATATATTGCAAGACATAACACCATCAAATTCACCATTTCCTAAATTAGATCACAGAGAAAATGGTCATAAAACCTAATTTTTGCATAGGTGAAGAAGTAAAATTGACAACCTACCTGCTGTTACTTACCTATTTCCATCTTAAAAAGCACATAATTTAAAGCAATTAATATAAAAATTAAAAGAAATAGTATGGTACAGGATGTAATGAGAGTTAAGAACGCAAGCCTTTACCTCATGGCAAGAAGAAATTCAAATAAAGTAGAGATGGAAGCGGTCGAGAACTGTTGGGTTTATGGCGTTATCTTTCAGCACATGTCAAAAAACATAAGAAACATCACCTGGCATCGTATAGCTCAGTCACTCAATGGTTTCTTCTTCCTACAATTAACCATAAGAAACATCACCTGGCATCGTAATGAACAAATGTCAACCTCGCATTACCTGTCATCGAAATGAACAAATGTCAACCACAATGACAGTGTTAAGGTTATAAACTCGAAATTTGTACGTAACTGATAGAAATACCCAACAAAAACATTTAGAAATATCAAAAAATACATAATAATACACACAAATATAGAAAAATACCCAAAAAGATACATCATTAGCTTAAACCTTACATCTGTAAGTCATTTCAGCATACCAGAAAAATGGTCCTGCAGTTTGAAACACCGATGAGTCCCAGAAACATATACAACTGAACAGGGTAAGCAAGCATAGTCAGTAAATCACATGTAACGACAAGGTGTAGAAAGTGATTTGTTTCAGTCGACTTTAGGGCTCCAACGAAGAAGAAAGTAGAAGATTTTAGGGGTTTTTTTTTGTGGAGGCTCAATTTCTACAGTCGATAGACGACGATGACGGAGGTGGTAGGACAAGTCGTCGCTGACGATTACCACTGAAAGAAGGAGTAGGACGCTTATCACTTTTACCCGGAGTCGTCTCGTTGTCAGCGATGGAGAACGAAGCAATTGCGATGCTATGATGGCCGTCATAAGAAGCTACGGCTGATGATGGTAGCATAACAGAGAAGACGAAGAGTGGAGACGTGGGGTGAGGTGATCGTCAGCTTCGTCTCCACCGGTAGGACGTCAACCCCGGTCTGGAAATCGGCAGTAGTGTGCTTCATAATCGCTTAAGAGAAGATCGAGAAAAGAATGAAGCAGAAGAAATCAGATAAGGCGGTGGCTTTTTGTGTATAGTAGACTATACCGGAGGAATAGAGAGAGAGAGAGAGAGTTCTGGAAGGATGGAAGAGGGTGACAGAAATCAGAACATCATTGGTTGAGAAAACGGTCAACAGAGCCAAAAATACACGTGTCCGATAAGAATATAAACAATAACAAAAAATACCCAAAGCAGAAAACGGACGTTTTAAGGAGACAAATACAGGAAAACATAGGGACCTACAATGGCAGAAATAACCAATGCAAGTATAGGGACCAAAACAGACAAATAAGCTGCATGTTAACTGTTGCTATGATTCACTTCTTTAATATATATATATATATATATATATATATATATATATATATATATATATAATTTCTTAAAAAATTAATCAAATTGTTATTTGTTTGAACAATTTTTTTTTTTTTTTTAATTTTAACATAAGTGTGAGACCCATCTAGAATTTAATTCGGCTTCAATTTATAAATTTTAAAATTAAAACAAAATTAAATTAAATTGATATTTCTTTATTATTATATTTATTATAATTATTACCGTATAGAATTTAATAAAATAAAAAGAAAACGATAAAAAATAATCATAAAATATTCAAATTAAATATGACAATTTAATTTTCTTTTTATTTATTAGATTAATTCTTCCACATTTCAATAACATCTCGCTTTCCATCTCCATTTTCAAGTCTTAAGGATATTGAACTTTCTGCACTGATAAACCTTGCTTTTCGTTGCAACTGTTGAGGATATTGAAGTTTCTGCACTGATAAACGTTACCGGTTCATCTTTTCTCATAATTCAACCCAATAGCCAATAATGGCAGAGTTTACTTCCCCTTCCCCAAATGGTATATTAATGGAGGTAGGAGTAGTACCAGACAACTGGGAACTTCAATTGAAGATTTATCAATCTCAATCGCAATTGCCTCAGCCTACGGAGCCTGAGATCATTGAACATGCCGCACCTGACTCTGCTGTTTTCCCGAGGGCCCACAGTGGAAGTCCCAAAATCAAACACCATCTCTGCCCCCAGTCAATGTTTAGTTGCGGCTTTTCTGTTATAATAACTATTTTTGTTGGCTTATTACGAGTTATGAGGTCCTTGCTTAAAATACACGAAGCTTTATCAACAAAAATGTCGATCTCTCTCCGCTTATCTCTGTTTCTCTTAATAATTCGCAGTTCGCAGCCTTGTTTGAATTCTGCAGCAGCAACCCTGCAACCATAAGAGTCCAGGAGGTAATTGTTTGTATTTTGGGTTCGATTTAAGTAATAAACGGATTTGGGCTTTGAATCAATAACTAGGGCTTGGTAAAAATATCTCAATTGAAGTAATTATCACTTTCTTTCATATTATTAATAATTCTCCCTTTTATTTGCTTGACATACAAACATTTGAGGTAGATATTGGTAAAATAAAAGAGATAAACAGTACAACCTATTGTGAATATTGAAAATTTAGAATCTTCCTTTGTTTTAGAAAAGAAAATAGGAAATCAAAAACACTTGATACGCAGATTGTACTGTAATTTACTTTCTATCGTTATTTCTTGAGAATTTGCATTATTAAATCTTTTTCTGTACATGGGTTATTGACTTATTGTTAGTTTCATGGGATTGTTGTTGACAAGAGCTTATCGGAAACTTTCAGACTTTTTGACTATCGAGTGTCCATGAGACACAACTTTTTGGCTTCAAGCATGATTTCTCCCTGGTCATCATCTTCACAATTTCATGTAGTAGCGGTTTCTCAAATTCTGGGCTTTCTTTTCTTCTTCTTTTCTAATGGTAAATCTGTACCTTTGTATCCAATACATACACACTCAAATAAGATAAGCTCATGTTCTAAATGCAACTTTATACACAATTTTAGGAGTTTCAGGGACTACTTTTACTTTTGTAAATGACTGTGAGTTCACTATTTGGCCTGGAATCCAAGGATTTGCAAGCTCAGCGCGTTTCAATATCACCGGATTCGAGTTACCAAACGGTAATTCACGATCTCTTCAAGCTCCAGATGGGTGGGTGGGTCGGTTCTGGGGTAGAACAGGCTGCAACTTCAATGCATCTGGTAATGTGTCATGCGCTACAGGTGATTGTGGCCCCGGTAAAATAGAGTGCAATGGAACCTCATACATACCACCCGTTACAATCGCGGAATTCAGTGTCAACCAATTCCAAGGCCAAGATTTTTATGATGTCAGCCTTGTTGATGGCTTCAACCTCCCAATACTTGTGGAGGCGACTGGCGGTTCTGGTTTTGGTTTTGGTTTTGGTTCTGGTTCTGGTTCTGGTTCTGGTAGTTGTGCAAAGACAGGTTGTGTTGACGACTTGAATCAACGTTGTCCAACAGAGTTAAGTCTGAGAGGTGGAGAAGGGTGTAGGAGTGCTTGCCAGGCGTTTGGCTCGCCGGAGTATTGTTGTGTCAGTTCATTTTCAACACGCTCGACGTGTAGGCCAACAGCATATGCTCAGTTGTTTAAATCAGCGTGCCCGAGATCCTATAGCACCGCGTTCGAAGATCAGACGAGTACGTTTACGTGTCGCGATGCTGATTACAGCATCAGATTTTGTCCTGCTTCCGATTCATTTTCAACGATCGAACTCGGCGGCCAACTCGACTCTACTGACCAGCTTGTTTCCATCCGTGGAAATTTCACATTAGGGTTTTTCGGTGAAGGGTATAGGTATTTGGGAATTTGGTATACTGACGATGTTGAATTAAAGAAAGTATGGGTAGCGAATCCAAACACGCCAATTGTATCCACCTCAGGTGCTCATGCCCTCTCCATCGACGCCAACATTGGAGACTTGATCGTCACTGCTGGAGGGAGAACTCTAATGAGTATTACAAATATTGAAACCGGTCCAAACCCAAATGTGACTGCAACTCTCGAAGAGAATGGTAATTTTAGGTTGATTGATGAAACTGACAAAAGTGTTTTATGGCAGAGTTTTGATCATCCAACGAATGTACTTTTACCTGGTATGAAACTTGGGTATGACATGACAACAGGGAAGAACTGGACCTTGACTTCTTGGGTGAGTAATGATATTCCTGAGTCAGGAGCTTTTACTTTGAGTTGGGAACCTATCGATGAAGCGTCGCAAAGATTAATGATTCGACAACGAGGAAAACCCTACTGGACTAGTGGGAATCTAAACAATCAAGTATTTCAATATATGTTTGCATTGAATGGCCCAAGTAGTCAATCTAGATATAATCTCTCTTCTGTATACACCAACGAAGCACGATACTTTAGCTACGAGGCCAATAATATCGCTGCTTTACCAATGTGGATTTTAACAGCAAAAGGACAAATTACAGATATTGATAATTCTACTGTTTGGACACCTGAGTTCTGTTATGGGTATGATTCTGGTAATGGTTGTGTGGAGTCGAGTTTGCCTCAGTGTAGAAGAGAGAGTGATAATTTTAGTGAAAAGAATGGAGATTTTGCTCGGGATACGACAAGAATTGATATTGATGATAATTCGAGCTTAAGTATTAGTGATTGTTTTGTTAAGTGTTGGAATGATTGCACTTGTGTGGGGTTTAATAGTAGTAGCATCAATGGAACTGGCTGTGTTATATGGACTGGAAGTAATAACTTTTTGGTTAATCCTCGTGATAACTCTACTTTAAAGTATGTGATCAACCAAAATTCAATCACTCCAAATACAGGTAATAATGTTAATTTCCAATGATTTTTTAGCTACTTTTTGATCATTTTAGAATCCAAACAAGTCAATATGCAGGTAACAAAACAGAAAAGAGCAAGAATTGGGTATGGATACTAATTGGCGTTGTCATTCCTCTCTTTTTCCTATGTTTTGGCATTTTGTGGTATATAAAGAAGAGAAAGCGTACACGAAAAGGTATAAAATTAGCAATGATAATAATTCTAGCTTCTGTTTGAACAATATAGTTGCATATTTTGTTAAGTCATTGATACTGATTGTAGAATATGAGAGACACAAGAGAGATGAGTATTTCCTGGAGTTGACAGCTTCTGAAAGCTTCAAGGATATACATCAGCTTGAAAACAATGGTGGGAAAGGAAATGACTTGTTATTATTTAGCATTGCTTCTATCATGGCTGCCACTGATGATTTCACAGTTGAAAATAAGCTTGGACAAGGTGGTTTTGGACCTGTTTACAAGGTTATGTTACTTTAAACTAATTTGATGCATGTGTTATGTTTTTGCATTTGTATCTCTAATCTGACAAAAAGAGATATCATGAAATTATAAAAAAACAGGGAAGACTAAGTGATGGACGAGAAATTGCAATCAAAAGGCTTTCAAGAACATCAGGGCAAGGGCTTGTGGAATTCAAGAATGAATTAGTACTCATTGCTAAACTCCAACATACAAATCTTGTTCGGGTTCTTGGTTGTTGCATTCATGGTGAAGAAAAGATGTTAATATACGAATATATGCCCAACAAAAGCTTAGATTTCTTTCTCTTTGGTACTTATCGTTTTTAACACAAGTCTATACAACGGTTTTACTTGTGATATTCTATTTGTTACAGACTCTTTTCTATCATTGTCTTGTAGATGAAAACAGAAAGGCAGAGTTGGATTGGCGTAAACGATTTGACATAATTGAAGGAATTGCTCAAGGGTTGTTATACCTGCATAAGTACTCACGAATGAGAGTTATTCATCGAGATTTAAAAGCTAGCAACATTCTTTTAGATGAAAGTATGAACCCCAAGATTTCTGATTTTGGTATGGCTAGAATATTCAAGCAGAATGAGACCGAGGCAATCACTAACAGGGTGGTTGGAACATAGTAAGTTGTCTCATTTACAAACTTACAATATCAAAATTACCATTGAATTATATTCTTTCATGATCAGTTTATTGAAATGTCATATCGATTATGTATTTGTGTTGTATCAGTGGTTATATGTCTCCTGAGTATGCAATGGAAGGGACTTTCTCTATCAAGTCTGATATCTTCAGCTTTGGAGTCTTGATCTTGGAAATTGTTAGTGGAAGAAGAAATAGCAGCTTTGTTCATCTTGATCGGACATTCAATCTTATTGGATATGTAAGTGTAGTCAAATTCACCACTTAGTGGTAAAGAGTCAAAAAGAACATATTATATTAATCATCTCCTAATGATATAGGCATGGGAGCTATGGCAACAAGGGGATACATTGGAATTGAAGGATCCTACATTGGGAAATACTTTTGTTGTACAACAATTCTTGAGGGCTGTTCATGTTGCCCTTTTATGTGTACAAGAAAGTGCAATCGATAGGCCAACAACATCTGATATGATCTCCATGCTTCTTAATGAAACCATGTCATTACCCACTCCAAATAGGCCAGCCTTCATCATCACCACTAGAGTGGAATCAGAGTCAAAGTCAAAGTCAACTTCAGATGAAAACAAAGCAAAAGATTGCTCTGTAAATAATATGACAATCACTGTTGTAGAGGGTCGATAGTTAATGAATGTAGCGTTGACCAATGTTATCCTTAAGTTTGTAATTTTTTGAAACCACAGGGACCATTGATGAAATTTTGTCGATATTAAAATTGATCACAATATCATTAACAATTTAAAGTTTGAATTCAAACATTTAATACATATATTAAAATAATCACAGACGATACAAAACAACGAGTCAATGATAACATACGTGAAATGAAAAATATACCTAACCATAGCAACTTTATCCAAATTGGATATATTTGGAAAATACAATGTCCTAATAAGAAAAAAAAAATGTAAGTACACTATTATTTCTTGCATTTAACCCTTTAAAAAGCAACCTATCAAGTTTTAATAATTTCACGTATCATACAATCATACCTACAATTACAAAGATTCAACATCTGAATCCGACTCAAGTTTCCACCAAGCACGACTTTCATCCACTTTATCTCCATCATCTTCCCCACAAACTAAATCACTCGCATCCGAATCATACAACTTCCTTTCTTTCTCATAATTATATCTCCACTCCAACCTTTTCAAAATATCACCATCTTTCCACTTCCCCACAACCGAAACCCCTTCCTTCTTAGCCTTTCCCATAATTATCTCCTCCCACGAAAAACACGCATCAGAAACCCTCTTAAGAACCCCACCTTTACAATCACCAACAACCACCGTTTTCAAGCATCTCAATCTCGCCTCTTTCAAAACCTCCACAAAGTCCGAATCATCTGACACAAGAACCAAACACTCCATCTGTCTCCTATCCATCATATCCACCATGTGTTCCCTCAGCGCCACGTCAGCAGCCTGTGGTTTGTTCGAAACAGTTCTAACCCAATACCCCGCACGCTTTAACTCGTCTCCCAATCCATACCCAACTTTTGGAGTCAAAATATCCCTTGCAGCATTACTATACTTCTCCATTTTCATCGAATACTTTCCCACTAGTTTGACCCTTTGACTTCCTTTACTTGATTCGATTTGACTCACACGTTTTGCATGTTCGCGTTCGTGGATTTGTTTAAAATGGTTTATAAGTTTTTCGTTGGTGTAAAACTTTCTCCCACAAACACGACATATGTATGGATCGATAGGTTTTGTAATGCCTTTGTTTTCTAGTTGATTTAATGTTTTTCTATCTTTTCTATGTAGTTTAATTTTAGGGGGGATGTAATCGAAAGATCTTTGATTAGCATAAGCTATCTTGTATCGAACAATTCCTAATGATTCAGCTGCTTTTTTTAGCCTAATGGCAGCATCAAATGGGGATACTGATTTTGGAGGCTTGTTGTCTAAGTCCCAGAAAACAGCTACAATGTTTCGACCAATGCCTTGAGTTGAAGGAAACGGGTTTGGGATTTTGTGGGTTTGATCTGTGTTGAAATGATAATGTCTAATTGTTTGAAAAACTGTTGTAATGGTTCTTAACATTGAAGAATCTGTTGGTGTGATCCTAGTACAGAATCTGGGTGAAACGACCATTTTCAACCTACAAAGGACAATATTTAGTTCAGGCATTTTATCGAACATCTAGCGTGCATGCGAGAAAAATGTGATATTCTAACATTTTAATTGATAAGTGAACTCCGATTTTTAAGTAGAAAATTAAACAAAGATGAGAATAAACAAATTGTAGGGAATTTGAACAATATTTTGATATCAATCCAGATTCCAGATTCTCGTTTTTTTTTTTTTTTTTCAAACTGAAGGAAACACGTCAACTCCAACCATAACAACACAAGCAAAAGACATTAAACTGAAATGATACTTACAATACTGAAAAGCATTGCATACCTGTATTTGTAATCACTCTACCCTCAAAAAATCAGTGATCAAAGCAAATTTGAAATACGAATAGTTTATTGAAGAAGTTTGTTTCAAGAAAACAATGAGGAGTGAAACTCATCGTTGCCGAATAACAGGGGCAAATCGTTCTGGGTAGAAAGAGCTAAAGACGATTGGGTTAGAACTGTTTATAATCAATTTAACAAAAGAGGAATTCATTTATTATAACGTCTGATGATGTATAACTTCTTTAAAATTTTTGTGTGTTTTAAATAATATGTTGGTAATTCTTGTTTTATTTAACTTATTAAATAGAAAGAGAAGTGGAATAATGGATTCTTTTTACCTTTTTTTATTCTTCAAGAGACTTTATTAATCAACAAACACCAGCGACCTAGTTTTTTCGCAGATTCATTAAAGGAAAGGGAAGAAAAATTTTGACAGAAAGAAAGGGAGGTGAAGGAAAATATTCATTATTCTGTGTTCCCGAGTTCGAAGGAAATGAAAGGAAATTTTTAAGTTTTGTGTTTCCGAGTTAGGAGGAAAAAAAAAAAATAAAACTTGAAATTTTCCTTCCCCTCGCTTTCTTCCCAAATCCGCCCAATTTGGGAGGAAAATTTGGAAGGAAAATATGGCTCCAAAATCCATCCACTCCACTCACTTTCCTTCCATTAATGAAACTCAGGAACACGGTTTTCCTTCGCCACCCATCACTTTCCCTCTGTATCCTCTCATTTCTCTCCTTAAGTAGAACTCGGAAACAAGGCAAGCCGGAACAAAGGCCAACAGCTGAAAGAAGAGATACTATATTTTTGGATTTGTATACATTTGGTAACTGAGTTTTTTTTTTCGTCCACATTTACCACTTCAACTTGTTAAACTGTATACATTCAGTCCTTATGACCGGCTACTCCAAGTTACCCGTTAAAAATTATTTAATAGGGTAATATATTTCGAGTTATTCGTTCGATCAAAACATCGGTTTTCGGCCTGACTGAGTTTACGTCGTAAACCCGTGTACGACCGTACACTCGTTTACGGCCAGAGTCGGGTGGACCCCACCACCGACCACAAAAAACCCCTATAAATATGAGACCCTACCCCTCATTTACACTTTTCTGGCCGGACACTCTATCCTTCTCTCTCTAAACTCCTGACCGTACACCCCTAAAACACCCTTATACTTTCGGGAAACATCTAGAATCACTAATTGGGGGTCATTTCGGAGCATCTAGAAAACGTTTTTCATCGATTCCAACACCTTTGTTCATGAGTGTACGGCCGTACACCCTTCAAGTCTACAAATCTTCATCGACCGTACACCAGTCTACGGCCGTACACACTTCAAACCTTCAAAGGCCGTACACCCTTCGAGAGGCAGTTTACGGCCGTACACTCCCTTCACGGCCGTAAACCCCATTCACGACCGTACATACTTCCTAAGCAGTGTATTAGACTGAAAACCCAGTTTCCTCAATTCAATCAAACTCCGGTAACATTCCTTAACCGAAAGCAAGTGTTTTTCCTAACACTTTATCTAATGAAATCGCTAATTTAGATACATTATGTATTTAATTGTTATTAGGATTGCGTTAAGTGCCACACTACAACTTGAGGGTCTTCATTTCAGTCCGTTGATTCGACGCTTGTACGCGACTAACTGTGAGTTCATACCCCTACGCTTTTATGATTTTTTTATGTTTTCAGGGGGGGGGGGGAATACAAGCCAAACACAAATGATTTTTGTGAATCAACACAAAGGGATTTCAACAAGTTTAAAACGTATGCAATTAATACGGTTAAATTATTTCCATCGTTTTATAAAATATTTAGATATTTTATCCCTTTTGTACTATGTTGAGCATAAGGGACACCTTCAAATTGGAAATATAGTTGCATAGTTTTCAAAATATCTTACAAACCAAGTACATAACTTTTCAATCAAACTATAATAGGTATAGTTTGGGGAATTCAATACATAGCTTTTACCGATTCAGATTACATACATGGGTAACCACATAAACTATGACCGATTTAGTTTATGATATACATTACTACAATAGTACGACATTTAATAATTATTTAAGTATAATTATTACCTTATATAGTATACACACGGATTTCAATACAGTAGATCACTACAGAACTACACGTAAACTAGTTAATACAGAATTGTGAGACTCTACTTCAAAACTGTACCCTTTGGTGTACTTAATTAAATCCTATCATAGTATAACAGAGTCTCCTGGAGGGAGAGCGTGAGATTTGTGAATAGATCTATTCGGGACTGACAATCCCACACCTGAACTGCTAGCTACAGTTAGGCAGGCATGCCTGGGGTGACAAATGTCATTTAACCGACACTTGAAGAACGCCGAAAAGGTCACTAGGTCATATCAAGCATGGTTATACGACTCACAATAGTATAAACTAACCATTTGTTTACGAGATTTCATTCTTCATTAGTTTTATTTTAAGTAATGAAACTACTATACATACTGGTGGTAGCCAGGGTTTTCAAACAGAACGTACTATACATACTGGTGGTTGCCACCGTTTTCAAACAGAACGTACTATACATACTGGTGGTAGCCAGGGTTTTCAAACAGAACGTACTATACACACTGGTGGTAGCCAGGGTTTTCAAAGGGAACATGGTATACAATGGTTTATGTACAGAATACATACATACTATGATTAGTATTAACCAGACATTCAAACTAGTATTTTCCTATGCTACAACAGATTTCAGTAACGAACATTCATAGTTAATTCTATAATGACTTAGTTTAAGCATCAGGGCCACGTATGGAGAATATTCGATAGACTGTGGAATGTGTGGTTTCCGCCTCATTTCCTCTTCCTTTTTTGGTTGTGGGCTTAGGGCAGATCCACATAGTCAACTGTCTGTTCGATATTGGTTTATACTTGGCTAGCATAAACTAAGTAGTCGTAGATAGAACTGATATAATCACACTTTCACTAAAGAAAATACTGGATTTTCTTGGAGACGTACGGACATTTTTACAGAGTCATCAATAGGTTTTCATTACAAAAACATCGCTTATGAACTCACCAGTTTTATGCTGATACTCTTTCAAAACTGCTTGTATTCTCAGGAAATCTGTAGAAAGGTACTTCCTGGAGTTTTGAGAAGACGGAGCGTATAGAGTCACGTCTTTTTCTTTTGATTATACTTTTGATGTATAAATTCAAGAATCAAACAGATGTAATTAACTTTTTATATATATTCAATGTAATGGTTGTGTTTACTATGATTACTATGATGCAATGGTTGTGATACTACATATGACTTCATCCACCCCCGAACGTTTCCGCCGTTTTCGGTTTAGGGGTGTGCAGATTGGTATCAGAGCTCTTGTTTATAGTAAACTAAGTATACCGAACCTTACATGGTATACAACTATAAAAACTAAGAGGCTGAAGTGCTCTGAACTAAAAGTATACTTTTAAAATATAAATATTTTATAAGAAGTATACAAGTATACATACATACCAGAAACAGTGTCATAAGTAGAACAAAACAAAAGTATTTGGATATTGGACGCTGCGGTTAAACGTGGATAGTTATGTAATCATGTATGGGATCAATATAGCCTAATCAACTATATTTATTTGAGACATGACCAACATGTGTCTGGGAGTGATCATGGTGTTGCAGCAAGCCTAAAACTTACCAAGCTATATACATCAAGATACCGATAGAACAGAGCATACAACTTAAAATACTATAGGAGTATTTTAGCTAGAGCCGAATACAACATACATATTCATTCCAAGTGTTGCTACTTATATCTTCCTAGCGATAGTTACTTGCATTAGTAACCTTTCTCTGTTTATCGCTTAGTAGAACACTTTATTTATCAGGATGAGATATATATTGTTTCATATCTCTTGATTTAAAGATCTAGGGGACTTACCATCCTCTTCTTCCTGATTATTTTTAGAAAAAGATGCCTCCCAGAAAGAGACCCAACAGGAAGAACAACGACCCTCCTTCGCCACCACCTCCTCAGTTCGATCATGCCATGTTCCAGGCAGCAGTTACAGCTTCCGTGACTGCAGTAATGGCGCAAATAAACTCTGGTCAGGCTAGCGGATCCGGAGGTGGTACTCATCCCCAGAATCTCGACGATCAAGGACATCAAAAGGAGTGTTCCTATTAGGACTTCATGAATGCCAAACCCAAATCCTTCGACGGCAATGGTGGAGTCATTGCCCTAACCCGATGGTTCGAGAAGATCGAATCCATCTTCGAGATTTGCGCTTGTTCTGAGGTCAACAATGTGAAGTTTGCCGCATGCACCTTCACTGACAGAGCATTGACTTGGTGGAATAGCCGGGTCAAATCCCTAACCCTACCAATAGAAAATGTCATGGGTTGGGAAAGCTTAAAAGAACTCATGCTGGCTGAGTACTGCCCAAGGGGTGAAATGCAGAAGTTAGAGCACGAGCTCTGGAACCTGAAGATGAAGGGTTCCGACATTGCTGCCTACACAGCTAGATTCTGCGATCTAGCTCTTCTATGTCCAGGAATGGTCACCCCGGAAAGAAAAAAGATAGAAAGATACATTTGGGGATTGACGCCCCCAACTCAAGGAAATGTTTTGGCTGCTAAGCCTGCCACATTTGACAGCGCCAAGTGCCTGGCGCAGACCCTAATAGATCACGGGGTTGATCTGGACGAAGTAACAGTCGCTCCCGAACCACCAAAGGCAAGTGGTGGGAAGAAGAAGTTTTGGAACAAACGAAAGGGGCAGTCTTCACAGGAGCCCTCCAAGAAATAGCAAACAGTGGCGGTTCACGCTGCTACTACTCCTGCTACTGTTCCAACCACCCAAGCACCTACCAGATGATATGCTGGTACTCTTCCAAAGTGCAATAAGTGCAACTTCCATCATCATGGATAGTGCCGGGAGATGTTGTGCAACAACTGTGGTAAGAATGGACATATGGCTTGATTCTGCATGGAACCAGTCCAACCAACCAACCAGGCTCCTGGAGCGGGCGCTGGTCAAGCCTGCTATGGCTGTGGAGAGGTTGGGCACTTCAAGAGAAATTGCCCCAAGGCAACCACAACTGGCAACACTGGGAGAGTGCTGGCTATGGACCAGGAAGAGGCAATTGCTGATCCCACCGTTGTTACGGGTACGTTCCTCCTCGACAACTCTTATGCATGCATTCTTTTCGATTCTGGT